ATTTACTAGGAATGAAAATCACCTTTCGTTAACAAACTGGAAAAGCATTTTGGTTTAGTAAAATTTTAAGAGCAGATAAAATTTAACAGCCTCCTGCAACAGAACATCATGTGACTCAGACGCAGCCACTCCAGCCCTGCCTCCGATACTTACTTTCAGTTCCTCATTTTAAGGAATTGTTTACATTAAATTAAAAACAAAAAAAAAATCAGATTAAAAGATTCTTCTATGCAGAAGTATGCCTTTGTCCATTTCTGCAAACAGGTTAAGTGGAATACAGATGAAACAGAGAAGCAGTTTGCTGAATCATGGTAACCAGGAATATCTCCAGCCTGCTGCAGATCATCCCCACCCAATAAACAGCTTCTCAGGGAGGGGACAGAGTGGCAGGCAGGACAGCATTATCATTAGTTATTTTTCAAAGCAGTTTTGAAAAGGAAGACAAAGGTGCTAAATCGGAGTTGTAAAACAGTTAAGCAATGCAGTCAGACTTACACAACTTCCATCACCTATCTACAGTGAAGAACTATCATATGTCTAGTACATAAATGCAATTGAAAGCAAAACAGGAAAAAAAAAAAAAAAAAAAAAAACAAACAGAACCAAGCAGCTGCATAAGATAAATTTCAAATCCTTGAGAAGCCTGAAAGACCACCATGGCAGGTCTAATGGCTCCTTGTAGCTTTATTTTGGACTGGACAAAAATGTAATGAGCTGTCCGCATAAGCTGCGCCTGAATCCACTGTGAAGAGAGCTGCAAAATTCTCCTCCACTGAGTCATCTAAACAAAAAAGCCACCAGGATTAAGGGTTTTCAATGGAAATATCTTAATCTGAGATATTAAATAATCAGAGATGAGCACTGAGGACTTCCAAATACATGAGAGAGAAATAAGTGAAAAACAAAAATACTGAGTAAACCACATCATTTGGAAATGGCTGCTGCTATGTGGTGTGTGTGTGATGAGAGGCCAGCCAGAATGTCGGTTCTGTTAAGATTAATTCAGAGAAAATAAATATATCCTGATGCCTTACACATGTCTGAGGACTCAAACAAGCACAAATTTTCATCACAGCACTTAAGAACAGTAATACCATATGGCATGGAGACTACAGTCAGCGGTAGTGCTTGTGCTGTGACAGAGGGGTTCAAAACACCCCATTTTCTGTGATACTGGGTCAGTGGGATGTCCTTGCCCATACGTATTACCTTTCAAGCACTTTCTTCCACACCAGATTAACTCAGTCACGTTGTTTCAGATTAAAAAAAAAAAGACAAAAATGTTATTATTTATGATTATCTGTGGCTTTTAGTTACCCCATGGCACCAGAGGAGACTCAGACCAAATGCTGTGTAGTGTGATGGGGCCAGTCGGAGGAACGAGCGGTGAAGCTGTGAGCCTCTCTGCGCTATGTGGGCTGCAGATCAGCAGCTACGTTCTGGGGCTGATGCCTTTAGCTGTGTAAATAGTCAAAAGATCAGAGATGCCATTTTAAGCTCTGAAAATGAGTGATGATCTGTACTGAAGGAAAATTAGTGATGTGAACCCTGCACATGTTTTTCTGACTTGGATGATGGTAACAGTCTCTCCTTGTCTCTTTTTACAAAAGCGAGATACTTCAAACCTGGGGTTGGATGTTGTTGCACAAATTTGCCTCACCACATTTTCTTTCAGTCTCCTATTTAAATCTTCATTACTACTCTCTGTTGTCAGGGCTTGCATTCAAGCTTCAGCAATCAACTGAGTTATAATGAAAACAGTTACATCTAAACCCAGGCATGCCTCTGCAAAATTACCCAGCTTGTTCTCATCTCCTTTCCCCCAGCAGTGCTACTTGGAAAACTTCCTTCTTGTATCTCCTTTTGACATGCTTGTGGGCAAGACCCAGGGTACGAAAGGTTTCTGCAGAACTGCATTTTGTATAAAACGAGCTCTCTGCAGAAAGTGACTCCCTCTGTTGTTTTTGGGTTTTTTTTGTGTGTGTGTTTTTTTGTGTGGGTTTTTTTTGTTGTTTTTTTTGTTTTGTTTTTGGTTTGGTTTTTTTTTAATTTGTGTTAACCATTGTTATCAAGATAGCCCTGAACACATGAGCGGAATATAAGTAGATACAGTACTGCTCACTGTCACTTTGTAATCCACAAATGATTTGCAGAGGGCTAAAGTTCTCCATAATCTCAGTAGCTTGTTAATGTGGAAAATTAAAGTCACCTCAATTTTAAAATGCACTAAACTTTAGAAGGCAATTAAAATCACATTTTACATGGCAATTTATTAAAGCACTACTAATTTTTTCAGTAAAGAAATGTGACTATCCAGATCTTCAAAATGTCTCCAGCTTCATCTTCATCAAAAGAATTTGCTAGAAAAAATGTTTATAGCGCTAATTATTTGTGTATATATATATAAAATTAAAAATTGATTTTTTTTTCAGCAACAAAGTTGGCTGAGAATGCAATCATAGCAATCACTGAATGCCAAGATCTTGCCACATAAGTCACGCATAATTCCTTGAAGTGCAGGAGGCTTGCTTTGAAGATTTCTGTCACTGAATGTAACATAATGTCTTTGCCCTTTGACCAGTGCTTGTGGGATCTCTCTCTCTCCTAATGTTCTGAACTTTGAACTTCATTACATGTCTCCTTTACTCTGTGCCCTGACACACAAGCAACATATCACCTTCAAAGATCAGTAATCTCTTTGGGTTTTAAAATTGTTTGATGGAAAGCTTAGCAAGTGCTCCCAAAAAGCCTGACCTCCACTATTGAATACATGTGCTCCTCCAATTCTTCACACATTGAGGATGTCAGTAAACGAACAATACAAACTGCAAAGCTGCAGCCACCACATGCCTGTGACCTTTGTGAAGTCTGTTCACTGGCATGTCACTCAAATTTGGGCCAACATGAACATTGGTGGTAGGGGAGAAATGAAGCTAGTTTGCCATGTATTCTGTTATTTGGAAATGCTTCACTTCAAAGGATAAGCATCATCTGGCTAAATCTAATCCTAAAAGTTCAATCAATCAAACACATCTATCACCTTTAGTTCTCCTTGTCAGGGGGTACTGGGATCAAGGGAGGGCCAAGTCTGTTCAGTGCACTTGCATGAGAAATATATGTTACCTGTCAGCACTAGAAGAGGAGCAGGCTTCAAGCTGTGGACAAAGGTAATCAGGTGCTTAGAGGTGCCCACTCATGCTGCAGCCTTGCCTTCAGCACTTGGCAACGCCACAACTTTCCTGGAGTCATTTGCCTCTGCAAACCCAAGACCAAACTTAAACACAGTTACTGGAGGTAGGAAGGACAGAAGCAGAGGACCTCCCCATATCACAGAGCCAGAGCTCTGCTCTTTGGCATGGGGAAGGCTGTTCTGAAGGGACTGTTAGCTAAAAAGAATTTTGCCCAGCAACCAGCTGTACTCAGACGCTTCTGTTCATGAGCAACATGCTCTTCAGCACAGTTGGACCTAGCAAGGGACCTAATGGGGCTCTGAACAATATCCTTTTGTGAAACAACATAAACTTCCCAGCATCTTAAAATCCCTTCTTCACCACATCCAAATAAATGTTAACAGCTGGCTGAGTGACCTGAACAGCCCCTCTCATCTAACAGGCCATGTGTGTGTAACGCTCACATGACTGCTTTTGCTTTACCTTGTGACAAACAAAATACTGTTACAGGATGAATCAGACTTTGAACCTGGATATGTCGAGGAGAAAGACAATACTCTCTACAGTTGGTCTCAGGTCAGAGACGGACTTTTTTTGAATCACTCTTTGTCTGCCTGACTGTGTGTCTCTGTGCGCAGGCCTATATGCCGGACCAAACGAGCTCACCATCTCAAGTAAATGATCAAAGCTGCTGAGCTTGTACATTGGGCTGATCCTATGCTAAGAGACACATGACAGGCCAGTGTTGTCCCTAAATTTGGGACTGAATGACATGTCACATGCCAGTGAACAAATTAAAGCTTTATTTGAGATCATATGACCCATGTTACAGTTAATCTGGCTTCAAATCTGTTTATGAAGGAACTGAATATTCATGAAGTCATTAAAGTGCACTTCTTGTTTTAAGAGAAAAAATACATCAGGGAACCTTTCAAGTTTTGATGTGATTTTAACAAATATGACTGTTTGCAATATATGTAATTGAAAAGCAGTATTTAAAACTGAAAGAAGGTCCTTTGGGACTCCCCAACTATGTCACCTCTCCTTGTACCACACCTGCGAGGAGCCAGGATCATTATTCAGTGTCTTAAGATGACAGTGCACCAAAGAGAAAGAAGAAAGTAGGGGTACTGTGCTGTCCATCCCAGAGCACCCTACCTCAAATCAGAGAGAAACCAGTATTTGTAACCCAACAAGCAGCCAGTATGAGTGAGCAGACAAGGCTTCTGTAGTTTGTACGGGAAAACACATTCTGAAGTTTTACAGCTCCAATGCCAGGGCATGCTCCCTCTGTTGTGTACATCAAGGTGGGTAGAAAACAGCACAACCGTGGATCTGCACCAGCAGGACCTTGCCTGTAGAGCCCAAGCATGTGCCACAGCAGCTGTTCCAGCACAGACACAGGCCACTGCACCTTTCCCTGACACACGGCACCAGCAATGTCAAACTCAGAGAGGATGAGATGTATTAACCGGAGACCAGCTGGCAGCTAAAAAATGTTGCTTGTACACACCCTGACAAGCCAAGAGCACGTCGAAAGGGGACAGCTACAGTAACATGACAGTTGAGCGTGGAAAACACGGCAGCAGGGAGCAAAATTAACCCGCAGCTTCCTCCCGGGCCCGGGCAGGCTGAGCCCACGGGGCCCGCTGAGCGCCGGGCAGCGGGAGCCCCGCGTCCACCAGAACGGTGTCAAACCAGGCCCCGCTGATAAGGAAGATCCTCGTTGCGGAACCAGCCACACCAGCCTCCCTGGCCCGGTAAACACAGCGACAGCAGTGTCTGGCACACGGCTGCTCGGGGGCTGTCTCTTATAGATCGGGCCCAAATCGGCATTGGGCTGACATTACAAGGGGGTACCACTGTCGGCTTCTCTTTGCAGTAAGGGTTGTTCATGTGCTTATGAGCAATCAGTTGACTTTGTGACTTCTGGTGTTCTTTGTAACTATGTGAAGTTTAGCACATGTCCTGTAATTTTCAGGAATAAGATCTAGTTTAAAATACGTTTATTTGAGAGGAATTGCAAGAATGAAGAATGGGGGGGCTTAAAATAAAAAATGTAATTTTCAAATATGAAAAAATTTTAACGGATCTTTTCACAGTCAAATATATAATTGATGGTTTACCATTCATAGTGCTTGTATGCCTTGTTGAAATACAGACATCAAGATGAAAGCATTCCACGGTCCACTACATTTTTAGCGCTTTTTCATAGTTCAGCATGCTGGATAGCTAGTTGTTGATGGGAATCTCTTCCATTGCACTTCCAGTCCAGTTTTAATGCTACATTTAAGCAGAGCTAACTATGGGCTACCAGCAGAAGAGATGATTGTACTCAATTTTCCTTTCCCCTCTCTGCCCATTGCTCCCCCTCATGTGTTGTATCTCACAGTTCTGCAATTACAGGTTACAATTTGGATTTGATTAGGGCACTCATTCAACAGAAATCTCATAGCTTTTTTTGAGGTTTTTCCTTTTTGACTACTGTTTTTTTCTGAAGCAGTGCACTGCTGTGACACACTCTGTAGCCACATGATTGCTGTATCTAACATGGGGCTGGCAGAGGGAACACATTTCCACAAGTACAACAGAACCATCCTGGCAATGACAACTGGCAGTTAGGTTGGATTAAGTGGAACATTAACCACTGTAGGGTCAGAAAAGTAGATGACTCGGACTATAAATTACACAGAAGGTAGAGTTACGAAAACAGTCAGCTGGCGTTCGCCTATGCTGCTGAAAAGGTGGCACTTGGAAATTTTTGCTCACATCCCAGATTTGAATCTCTGATGTGCTGCATATGCACAAGACTGAACGCTTGAGCTTATCTGCTTCATTTGTCATATATAAAAGAGATTTTTTAATGGTACTTGCTTCCATTGAAGATGATCAAAGAAATAATTTAGGATTTTTAGTGTGGGGGTGCTTTCTTCATGTGACAGAAGCCAGTCTTAGTAGAAGGAATGTGAAAGTAAAAAGTTCAACAGAATTATAGTCCACCATGCCTTCTGGGCTAACCCATCAGCCAAGGAGGGTAATGTATGCCACCATTGGAATTGATTTGGAGATAATAACCAATTATTGTCAGAGAAATGTTCATATGTTACTCCTCAAAGTGTTTTCCTTCGTATTAGCTCCCTGTTTGGTGCTGCGTATGGCCATTTTGTCATATGGAAGGAACAACTCTCAAGAAAGCCATACATGGTGCAGACAGTTCTAATCGCAGAGCCCATCGAGAAACTTACATTTCACAAACATTTCTGCACTCTGTATTTACTAGAAACCCCTCAAATTCAACCTCATTTTCAAATTGAGATCACCTATGTTCAAGATATAAGACTACATATTTCTTTTTACAAAACACTGAAGCAGGGTACTTGGTTTCAGCTAAAGTTTAGATAACGTCTCAGATTGATGTGGTGGTGAATTCACAAATTACAGGTGTTTTGGCATAAAGGTTACAAAGTATAATTAACTTGATATTTGAGAACATGAATCCTTCAAGACAGTAGTTGAATAATGGCCAACAGAACTTTGTTTGCCTTTTCTGCCAGATTTCCTTCCCTCTATTTAACTGATTGCCAGCAGGGCATGATCTTTTCAACAGTTATGCTCTTGTCTGGATGTCTTGCCTGCATTTTGATACCACACTTGTTACATCAGAATGTGAAATGCTAAAAACCCCCATTAATTTCAGTGGAACATGGTCTGTTGTGCATGGGCCTGTGTATGGGCCAAAGAGTAGATTCAGAGTAGATCTAGTAACTCAATCCCAAGTGCTTTCCTGAGGATATGTGAATTAGGTGTTCTAGATTTTCCAAGACCATCCTAACTGACTTATATTTACAGATGCTGTAAATTTCGCTGTCAGGAGTGTTCCCAACAGGCCATGTTTGGCATTGACTTTTAGAAGAACGCCTCCCTAAATAGTTAATTTAGTATAAGTCCTTCCATTCTGAGAATGGAGAAGCTTTATCCTCATCTCACCTATTTCAAAGCAAAACATAAAAGGAAATTGAAGACAAAAATCACTTGGAGCCTGCAAAAAAGTAGAATATAGTTCAAAATAGATAGTCTTTGCAGCATTTTGATTATTTCTTACAAATTGAAGAAAATTAGTCATTTTATAATAAAATTAGTTCAAAGGTAATTTGAATACAGGCTGAAGCATTCCAATCACTGGCTCAGATAATTCTTTTTTTTTTTTTAGCTCAGAAAGAGCTAAATTAAACATTATTTATCATTCATCTTACTTATTATCCAATCCATGCTTTTTCCTTTGCTACTCAGTAATATTTTTTAATTTTATGAGCCTTTCAGTTTATCATGTCCTGTACATTGTTCAGCCTCAGGCACTATACTTCTCTATTGCTTTAAACCTTATCCAAGTGAATTGCTTCTTCATTTTCATTTTAATTTTGAAATCTTTGATTTTAAGAACTATGAGCATTTTTTCAGAACCATGACCAGTTTTATGAACCATGAGCATTTTTTCAGTGAATTTGCGGGTTAAAAAACTAGACCTTTGTCTTCAAATTTATGTAATTCCATTGATTTTAATACAGTTACATGATTTTAAAGCAGCTGTGAATTTGACCTATCATTTTCTGTATTCCTTTCCATTGACTTTATAAAAACATGAAATCAGTAGTTGAGTGCTTTACATGCTAAATGAAGTTTTTCTTTACTTTTGTCTCTTAGTCTTCTCCTCAGTAGACAACAAGTCATTATGTCAGCAAAGTTATGGTCATTTGCACTATCTGGATGTGTAGCCACATTCTTTGTTTTGCACACCTACTTCCAAAACACTGAAACCCAAGTCTGTGGTGTTTTATTCCTCCAGGTTAACACTTCATTAGTTTTGTATTGTATGGTTAATGTGGGTTGAGATGATATATAACAACATGTAGTTTTATGTCTAATGTATTAGCATTCTTTGACACTCATATCTTTGAACCTGATGATGCTGGTAAAGAAGCAATGCCTACAACTACATAGAATTCTCTTTGTCTTGAGGGAAGGAGTTGAAAGATCAGAATATCATTTGCCATCTTGGTTTGTTCAGTCTTCATGGTTTTGACCCTTCCAGGGTGACTACAGTGCTGCCCAGTGGACAGGACATCATGAATCCTGAGGTAGTCAGACACCATAAGGGAAGACAGTAAAAGACTCCAGAGTGCTGAGGATCTTGAGGGCTGGCCTTGGGATCAGTTGACTTTTCCTCTTGCAATAAACCCCAGCATCTTGTAAACAAAGGAGACTGAACTAGAAACTCATGGTCTTTGGCTGTAAATAAAAAAATAATATTAATATGATTTTATAAAGCATTCAGCAGCTTTTAAAATCGCCTAAAGTACATTCCTGGAAATTCTAGGGGCTTTTTATCTTTTGGATGCTACTCAGTGGGGATTAATGTTAGCTACAGAGGAAACACCTGAAACATACAGATGGCTTGAATACAGGCTGAGAATGGCTTGTGAAGACTAACACGACTGTACCTGCTACTGATTGAAGAGTGCAACCCCTGCCCGAGACAGTGCGATACCTCATACAACCTGGAGAAAACTTTTAGAGTGACATTACTCTCTGCATCTGAAAGTTTGTCTTAGAGAGTTTAAAGGATTTGTGCAAATGAAGTTACTTCCTTTCCCCCTGCTGCTCTTCTGTCTGATCAGGTGGTTGTCTTTGAAAGGGCTGTTGCGGCTGCTGGCTCTCAAGCCTGCATTTATACATTAAAAGCAAGATCTGAATTAGCTTGTTGAGCGTCATTTAGCAGCTGGCTTCATAAGAACATAGTGGGTTTTTTAATTGACTTTTCTTCAGTTCTTTTTTCTGAAGCCATTCATGTTCTTTTAACTGGTTGGTTTTTAGCTATGTTTGATTTTTATACTTCTGTTAAAAAGAACACAGGAATTTTTCCCATAATGGATGTTTACAGGTTATTGTCATAGTGATAGCTGCTGTTCCTTATGTGAATACCTGCTGTAGCATATCTATAGAGACATCACTGATTTGGGCAGTTTCTGAATTCAGACCTTTGCAGCGTTTTATAAATCAGTTATTTCACATATCTGTGAGTCAGTATAATTTTTAATGCCGTGTTTCACATTTTTATTATTAACATCATACATTGGGATGTCAGAGCAAATTCTGATCTGTTTACTTGCATAATGTGCTAGTCAGTGAATTGTTTCTTGTAACTCTCAGGAGGATTATTTGTGAGGAAAAATGATCTGTGAGTAGGGAGCATGGGGTATGTTCCTCAATCAAAGACTTTTACTACCAATTTCTGAGAGATTAAAATAGGCCCAGTGTCCTTTTGCCATACCCTGCACTGAAGGAGACACTTCAGTATAAGTACCAGCTCTTGTAAATGCCTGTTTAAAAGAATTGTTCTCTTGTCTCCACTGAAACTTCTATGTCAAGAGTACTAGTAAGAGTGTATTTGAAGAAATAAATTTTGGCTTAAAAAGTAACAAGGGATGTTTGAGGAATATTGAAGATAAAATTACTAAAGCAGGAGTCTTTGAATAAGCAATTCTTTTGTATTAATGATTACTGTAATATAATGCATTCTTATAAACATACAGTAATGTACTGTACTTTATTATAGTACTGTCATTTAATATTATAAAATTCTATTCTATGTATTATGTTTTATATTAATATAATTTATAATCGATAAACATACTGTGCTATTCATTATATTGCATGCTCCTCATGATCTAAGTGTGATTTTTTTTTTTTTTTTTACAATCTTTATAGCATTTACAATTATTTTTGTTTTCTCTTCACAGGAAGTTCAAGAAAAAACCTCTGGTTTTAATATGCAGTTGGACTTAACTGGGGCAGTTCCCAGCCTTATAGTTGCCTTTGTGATTGTAGCTAATGGGGATCGCCAGGGACGCAAAAGATCTTTAGTTTTTCCATCAGTGGGAGCTTTGATTGCTGATATTTGCCTCACTGTAATATCGTACTTTTCCTTGTCACTGTCTGTCCTATTTGTGGTTGCATTTATTACTGGACTGTTTGGGGGTATGGCAACTCTCCTTGGAGGAGGCTTTGCTTTTATAGCAGATGTGTGTCATGATGAGAAGCAGAAAACAACACGAATAGCTGTGGTGGATTTGATTTTTGGAGTTGTATCTGGATTGGCAGGACTGTCATCTGGCTACTTTCTAAGAGGAATAGGCTTTACATGGACATTTCTGATAGCATCTCTGCTTCATGTCATTAATATTATCTATATTATATTTTTTCTGGAAGATACAGTAGGTGTATCTGAATTCCAGCACGAGGCACCAGTGTCCTGGAAAGAACTTCTTAGAGAGACATTTTCTGGAGTGTATGTGCTTTTTAAAACTGCCCCTTATAAAAAGAGAATTTTAATAATTTTGTTACTTTTTACATTTATGACTTACTTATTTACTATGATTGGTGGAAGTTCACTTTTTACACTGTATGAACTGGATGAGCCACTTTGCTGGAATGAAGTTTACATTGGATATGGAGCAGCTGTGTTCACTTCTGTCTCTCTGACCAGTTTTTTAGGAGTTTACTTATTTTCTAAATGTCTCAAAGACATTTATATTGTCTTTATCGGGATATTTTCTTACATTGGAGGAATGATCATGGCTGCCTTTGCCAAAACTACCCTACTCATGTTTTTAGGTGAGTTCAGAATCAGTTGTTCCATGGTCAATAATATATATATGAATATACTGCTATGTTAGGTGTAGTGAGTGCAGTTGGTAGATATTAGATGTACCATCTTGAAAGAATCATAAGGAGGTAAAATACAAAGTTGGTTGGACTGATTTAGGATTTAATTAAAAGATTAAGTGTGTGTAGAGAGAATGGAATTACTTGCTTATGATTTGGGTTTAGTACCATAGAGATACATTGCATTTATTAATTTCTCTGTGCTTGATTAATTGTGTCTCAGTGCACTTCTAGTTTGACTTTTCTGTTGCCTTTTAGTGTTTTTCGGGTAACTGAACATTCAAAAGTATATGACTAATTCAGTTGCAATATATTTATAAAATCCTGGATTTTTATTACTTCAGTGTCTCATGACTGACTCACTACTTTACAGTAAGAGTGCCATCTTTGTTCTGCTTTATGCCCATTCCTGTTCTCCGATCCATGCTGTCAAAAGTGGTTCTCACTGGTGAACAGGGTGAGTAGAATTTGTTTTTAAACAATACAGTAATATGGTATTTCAGAACAGAGATACACCAAGATTACCTTTAAACAAACAGATACGTATTGTTATTTTAAGACTGCTTTTTTTTCATGTTCCATATAATATGACCCTGTGTCATGGTATTAATACCTTTTGATTCTGAATTTAATATAAACAACATTGTGTTTAAAGACTATTGCAAGTTTCAAGCTTCAAAGGAAAATGAGAAAATAAAATAAAAATAAAGATCATGGGGAACCTGAAGCAGAGGAGTGCTCAAGATTTATACACGGGATTTCACAAGTGCTTCTATGTTCACAAGATTTTGACATGTAGAGAAAGATATATTTCTGTTATTTAGTCAATGTTACACTTAATAATTTAGAAAGGTGGTCAGCCCCCAAAGTACTTGAAAACAATTAGAGTTGGATCCTGAGCTATGTAACCAGCTTCATGGATGCCTGTGACTACTTAAACGTGTCCCAAAAGGTATAGCATATTACTTCTCGAAGTCTTTTCCTTATGGAACACAGAAAAAAAGCATGTCAGGCCTCAAAATTTGACTCTGGTATCCCATATTTTGCTTTTGGGGAGCATATACTTTCTAAAAGCATTCTCCTGAGTTACTTGGGTTTATTTTTTAAAAGACTTATCTTTATACACTAAAATAAAGATCTGTTTGTACATAACTATGCCATTAACATACACCTCCATTTCTGCAGTTTCTTGGCATTCTTCAGGGCTTCAGCTACTTGAGTAGTTTGATGCAGGAATCAGGTTGCCTCTTACCGTCCTTTTCTGCATACCTATTGTGATTTTGTTTATGGTCCCATGAATATGGATGCGGCTTGGGAAAATGTGCTCAACAAGACACTGGTGGGATAGACTGCCACCCCAATGGGTAGTTCAGTGTACAAAATGTTGTTTCTTACTTTTCAAAACCGAGGACATGTTTATGTGCTGAACCATCGGTCTTTGTTGGATCAGAGCCTTTTTTGCATATGAGAGTGAAGATTAGAGAAGGAAGAAGCAAGAAAGGGAAGAGTGAGAATCGAGAGGAGAAGTGTAGGGGGTAAAGGATGGAGATGTGCAGAACATGATTAGTGAGGATGAACAGTTTGAACTTCATGTGATAAACAGATTCAAAAAAGTAGGTATGGTGGCAGAATAGTAGCAAAGAAAAATAGTTTCCATCAGCAACTTTTTGGTTTTGTTTTTTTAAAATTTAAAAAACACGTCTTTTGTAGGAGTCCCCACAGAAAGGCACTTCGATAGCAAAGACATACAATACTCAGGCACTTGTTACTTACATGCTTGCTAAAATACTGTAGATAGATCTATCAAAACAAGTTTTAAAACCTCAGTCCTTTGAAGGGGTTTTAGTTTTATTTTGTTTTGTTTGTAATTCATCCATTTGTTTTTGGCAGGTGCTGTGTTTGCTTGTATTGCCTGTTTAGAAGTTGTGACCGGCAGTATTTCACTTTCGGTTTTTAATAGTCTCTATGCAGCTACTGTTGCATGGTTTTCAGGCTTTAGCTTCCTCCTGTCAGCAGGCCTTTGTCTAATTCCACTGGCTGTCCTGTGGTAAGTATAGATCAGGAGGGTGCTTCTGACTGCTTTTGCCAGTAATTTCTGTTCTGATATGAGTTGAAGATGAATGGTTTAGTGCAGTAGTTCTCAAACTTCAGTATTTTCTACTGTGCTCTAGTAACTCTAATTTCACACTTTTTCTCTCTTCAACATCTACCCCCCTACATGTTTGTGGGCTATTTCCCATCATCAGTCCCATTCTGGCCTTGATCCAGCTACCTCCCCTCAGCTTCGAACTCTGAACTTGTCACCGAATTCCCCCAAACTGAAATCTACCCTCAATGTATTATACTACTAGTGGGATACACCATACCCCTGACTGCATGTGTATGCCTTCACTTGGTTTGAGACCTTTACATGGTCTTTCTTACAGGAAAGCCTTTTGACAAAGAACAAAAGTAACAGATCACTGGAAAGACATGAGCTTAATTTTGCAATCTGAGCTGTTTTAGATGGTAATGAGGATTCACCCAGTGAATTTAATGGAGAGCTATCTGTCCTGGTCCTTGTTCATGGGTACCTTGTGACCCAGTGCCACTGAAATCTGTAAAAGATCAGAACTAGCTTTAAGGTCTATATGAATAAACCTTTAGACATGATATAAAAATATGCCTCTGTAGTATTTGCATATAATCATATCTAGTGACCATCTAGTAATAGTGACAGTGAAATATCATTATTCAACAGTATTCACAAAAGCAAACTTCACTTTATATTATTTCCAGTGTAAATTATATCTTTTTAGGATGCTGGAACATAGATCTAAATAACAGAAGGATCACTTTACATTAGAAAGGCTTATATTCCAGGGAGGGAAAGCTGTTTTCATTAAGAGGGTCGTACTCTTGCTGGACACTTGCATCTTTTTTTCTAATGCATAAACTTTACCTCAGTCACCTTTTATCTCTATATCAGCTGAATTTTAAGTTTCAAATAGGCAGCGATAACACTGTAGATTTAGAACATTTCACATGATTTCAAGTCTGTGCCTACTTCACTACAGTGTTTTTACAGTCTATTCAGAGAAGCTGCACTAGTGGTAACTTAAGTCTAAGGCAGTGATGGGTCTCAGACCTGAGGGAGTTGAAGCAAAGGAGTCTTGTATGTGTAGAATACTTTTCAGTAATGTAATAAAAAATTGAAGAATTCAGTTATATTAACAAAGGCCCAGTGTTATTAAATTTTATTAAGGCTTGTGTTATTAAGTAATATTTTTAGTTTAGTTCAGTGCTGTATGGTAGAGAAAGTTTCTGTTAAGAAAGCACTCTTCTGTGCAAAAAGTAACAGATATTTACCATCAATTAGTCCATCCTGCAGTCAGGGCTGTAGTCCATCACCCTAAATTTTTGAAATTTATTTTTCATTTCTTTTTGTCATTAGTGTCTGAGATACTTCACCCTTTGAATAACCTTCTTTCTAAAACCTTTCTTTTGAGAGTATCATGCAATGTTACTATTTGAGAGCAGAAAGCACAGTTCTTCTAGTCTGTAATAAATTGGGCATTGTGGTTTAGTAATTATCAAAGAAAGCAGTAATGATAGTGTCTAACTTGTGTAATAAGTGTTGTCTTTGCTTTTGTTTACTAAATATGACAACAGCTTTGTGCCACAGAAGATGGTTGTAACAGAGCTATCAAGTGTGTTTGTTGGTGCTGAATCAGTATGCTCTACTTATCAGCTGAAGATATCTGTCTTATCTGTGTTTTACAGCTGGCTTCTGTGCACAAGCTGGAATGGGGAGGACTTGGCTCTGCTTGTACCTGAAGAAGTATCCAGCATAGAGAGCGTTGATAGTTGAACAAAGGATTCACCTACCCGGGTTTTCTAATCTGACATGCAGTGAGACCGTTGTGTCATAGAGACCATAGAGATAACACAACAGTTGCAGATGCAATCTCAAAGTGGCCCTGCAGCAATAAGCACTAAATTGGTAGCACTCTATATCCAGTCTCTTTTTAGCACTTGAGTAAGGCTAACTCTTATACTTAACTATGCACATAGGCTGGCAATGGAGATTTTAATGCTGCTTTCAGCATGAAGAAAAAAATAAGGTAGGATGATACTCTCTTTCCACTTACCCCTTCTCAAGTTTGAGAATGTCAGCTGTGGATTGTGATACATCTTGTATTATTCTAAGTGGGGTGACAGAGATAAGCTTATCAACTCAGAGGGTGCTGGCAATTCTGCTGAAGCCAGTGGAGCTCATGCCAGCTGAGGATGCAGTCCACTGTGTACATCTTAAAAGGCCTGTCTGAATGGTGAAGCCCCCCAAAAGGTGTTTTTTTCAGAAGGCAACCGAACTGGAGGCAGTACTTGCACCTGCTGTAAGAAGACACTATCTGTAGTTAGCAGAGAGTGTTTGTGCAAGTTTAATGTATGATGTGTGGACCTTGCCTATGACTTAGTTCTTAAAATGGATTTTCACACAGAACTACTTAGGAAATTTCCAGCTTGCAGAGTGTGAAGTTAGGCCTATGCCTACATTTTGCAGAGGCCATATTGCACATTTATTTTTATCATTTTTCATATATTGGGGACTGCATACAGACACCTCTATTTTTTGTCCCAGAGATACTTGTTTTCTAGTCAAGTCAGCTGTACTTAGCTTAAGAGTTTCTTCTATTGAAAGGCTTTAATAGCATTTCTTTTCACTGGATCTTTGATTATTTAACAAGCCTGAAATGGGGTGACCAAATCTGAACCATGCATCTAATGATCTTGCAATGAATGCAGCATAATTTATGACCACTTGAACAGCATTTCTCATCTTCAAAGCACTTTATATTAATAACCTCCTTCCATAATAGATATGATCCTCCCTGTTGCAGAGAAAGAGAAATCAACAGCGAGGACAAATGACTTGCCCAGGGCCACAGTGCAAACTGGTGAGACCGACAAACCTAGGAATCAGTTTCTGCATTGACTCTTCACCACCTTGCTTTGAGATCTTTAAGCAGAAATTATCCAGCATATTAGCTTCTGAGATGCACAGCAGAGCAGAATTGTAAATATAACACGTTAAGGAGCACTCCCACATGGGCTTTTGAGACAGTTTGACAGCCAATACTGTTCAGATCCCTGAAAGTGCAGGTAGGTTGACTCTCATCCCCTAAAACAGATTAGGTAGAGAAATAAAAATAACGTAAAGTGGTTGACGTTTACAGAAGGAAAAATCTAGGAAAGCAATTGTGATGTGGGAATTGATTCCACATGCACACAGCATAGGATAAAAATGAAGACAGAATACGCTTTATAATCAACGATCTGCTTACAGCCTTTAATAGCCATCATATGAATAGAATACTTCTGCAGAACTGCTCAGTGGTACTCCACCAAAGTGTTAGTACCACATCATGATATTATGCCAGCAACCTAGTCTAGTGGAAGGTGTCCCAGCCCATGGCAGGGGAGTTGGAACTAGATGATCTTTAAGGTCCCTTCCAACCCAAACAGTTCTATGGTTCTGTTGTAGGTCCTTTTTGTTTGAACGGCACCATTACTTCCAAGCTATGTATTGTGATCACTGAGAAGTTTGGAATAGGGTTTGAGTAAGGTTGCGTTTACACTATCCAGGAGACCACTACCTACCCGTCACTGGTGAAAACAGTGTCATCTATCCAAGCAGGGGGAAGGAATACACAGCTAACAGCTATTGCAAGCTCTTGCACTTCTGTCCTAAACTACCAAGGCTGATGTTGGCAATTAAAGATCATTAGCTTTTCCTAGATAGTTTAGACACTGTCTAGTAAATAAAACTGTTTAATTCTCCTCCCTTGAGGTCCCTAAGCTGCTATCAACTTGTTGGAGAAGCAAGCTAAGTTTTACAGTAATCACTGGGTCCAAAACAATGGGTACTTTTAGAAAGATTAAGAAAACACTGATGTGAAGGATTCCAACACAAAGATTACATTGTCTGCCTTGCCTCTTCATTATGCAGTTATGTAAGGCTTTATGAAATTAACTGTTTCACACACAACTGCCTGGAAGAAGTAAAGCAAATTAAGAAGGTGGTGTGTATGCCTTCACTTCCTCTTCAATACACACCTCTGCTAGCACTGGGTAGGAACAAAACAAGCTATTCCACAGTGGCATTTTGTTTGTCCAAATGAGAACAAGCACCTCACTTCAGGCATGGCTTTGTTATGGTTTGATTTTGCAGTACAAAGTACTCGCTGTTTGTAAAGTATTTCTGGTAGACACAGCATTTAGAACTGGTTGTGAGTTCAGGTCAACACACATGAAGGATATGAACTGTGTTTTTAAAAAAGTGCCTAGCACTGTGCAAGGTGAGGAAATCACATACTAATGCACTTCAGATGATTAAATCAGAATCTGCCAAGTTTATAATAGTTGCTCTATTTGTATGTAAGTGCAAATAATTTTGACATAAGTTAATAAGTTTGGGTTTTTTTAAACTGTGCTGTATGTGTAGTTCTTGCTTTGTTTTTTGACAAATGGCCAATGGGATGACTGGTGGAGGAATGTTTATGTAAACAGAAGCAGCAGCACTATAGTATCACTATTTTTGGTGGTCATAACAAACAGCAGTGCAGGAAGATGTGCTTTTGCCTCCCTCCTGCTCTTGAGGAGAGGAAAGGATGCTGCCCAGAACGTCAGCCCTAAGAGGAGGTGGGGAATTACAGAGCAGGCACAACATTGCTGTCTGCAAGAAGCCAGCATGGGGGCTTGTGGTGCACCCAGACAACCAGCAGATCTGCAAGTGCCTTCCTCCTCTTGCCCAGGCTGGGTCAAGGCTGGATCTGTCCGAGCTCCCCTTGCCAGCACACCTCACTTGGCACACCTTCCCAGGCTGCTGCTTGCAGTGCTTGCTTTACAGAACGAAGCTTGTAGAAGAGGGAAGGGACTGGGCCAGGAAGCCCAGTCCCCAGCTCAACACACTGCAACACTCCACAAGTATAACCCTTTTTATCTCAGAAGCACTTTGCCTCAGTCCTGTTTGACTCCCATTACTTTATTAACAGCATAAATTCTTGCACAGGCCTCTTACACATATCATTTACTTCCCAGCCTGGCCACCCCCTAAAATTAGCTTCCTTACAGACATGATGAACATGCAACATCCTTGCTCTGAATATGGCTTCATCTGACCCAAGATTATAATGAAGTAAACTAATTGTTGAACAAATCCACCTAGAAATGATGTCTGGACTTCTAATCTGTGTCTGCTCTTTGCTGCACTAATGAGAAACTCCACTAAGTTACTTGTCTTAATGTAGTTTTGCTCAAATAGCATCCATCTTTCAACCAACACCAGAAGAGGATGACCAGCTACATATGCTGAGGTGGGGAGCTACATGGTACCAGTAACTGTGTACCACTGTGGGATGGCTCCCTGTTTTCTGGAACAGTGCTGGAAGAAAGGCAGACCTGAAAATACTCACCTGTGTCTTAATTTGTCCCAGACCTGGCAAAGTAATCCCCCAGTCTTTCTGGCCTGAGACTAGAGCAATACAAAGCTTACTGAACCACAAGCTTGCTTTATAAGAAAAGTTTACTTTTGCTTTATACAAAACTGCCAAAAAATTTGTCAATTATAAAATAGCAGTCAATTCTGATGCTTCATTTAAAGTATATCAGCTCACAGAAGGACCAGGATAACTATGGAAAACAAAATAGTGAGAAGGTCTACATCTGCATGTTCAATTTACTGATCCTATGTTTAACCTAAGGCAAAAAATAAATAGCTTGTATTTCATAGCACAAGCACCTAATGTCTGCAACACTCAAGTGAAAGACAGAATTAGACACTTCTTAAATGAAACAAGCTTAAATATAAAACCACCAGTAAAGTATCTCATACTGTGTCATATCTTTGTTTTTAATCTGCTGCAGTGTTTCACAGTAGATGCACATAAAAGCACTGTAAAATTTACAGGACAGAAGCTAGAGGCTTTTGCCCACATGGATAGGGACTTTGTGGTAGCTTTAAGCACACTGAAAAGCAGAAGAGATACTTGGGGTATTGAAAAGAGGTTTATAGCAATACTTCTGCTAATATTATCTACAAGAGAACACTAAGTGCACTTCGCAATTTAACTAAGTCATTAAAACCTGAATAAACACAGTTCCTGTCTTAGAAATACTGACTCAAGCTCCCCACATACAACATCTTTTAAACCAGATCTTTCTCCTAATATGTCACATAATATTAGATGCCTTGGAGGATATGACACATGCACATGTATGACATCAGGAAACAGTTGTTACGACTGAATTTAATAACACCTTCCCACACTTTAAAACGTATATTGAAGTATAGGTGTCTCAATCTCCCTTAATTAAGATCTGATTTTGGTAAGCCCACAAAAAAAAAAAAACAACTTCTGCATTTGTCATCCAGTACCACTGTATCTTCATGGTCTCACTTCAGCTGTTTTATTACATACTTTCATAATTAGGCATTGCATTATCTCCAAATACTAAAATACCTAGATCCAGGAGTGCTCTTTTGCATTATGCTCCCAAATGGATTTTAAAAATACCTCTTTAAACCCCAAGTGGAACTTACTTCTGCTCTCAGAAACCAGAATATCCTCTCAGGGACACCAGTGGAAAAATTCAGACCTTTAACATCCTTCTTACATTAGTACTTCCAATTCTACACAACAGCTTAACAGCTTGCTCATAAAACAACTGCCAACAAGAGGGGATAAAATGTGTATAGCAGGATTCCACTGCCAGTGCAGAAATTAAAAAGATCTTTAAAGATACTGCAAGAAAAAGGAACAACACATTTTGTGTTGTAGATAAGAAGTTCTTGATTTACGATTAAATATATTTTGGAACGCAACAGCATTTATAGCAAACTTTTATTCAATAGCTTAAAAAGTGTATGGAAATTTTCATGAACAAAGTTATTCAATGGAAAATACCGTCTTTTCCCCCTTAAAAAGTTCTTCTGCAAGAACATCCATTAAATTACCTACAGTAATCAGATTTAAAACGCATGGGTATTTTTTGATTTCTTGTATACACATATAGCATTTCCATAGTAAAGAAGCTACTGTCCTGAGCAGTGTACGAAGAGACATTAAACTACCTAGTTACAGGACATTTATATAATTGACAACAAGCACAGAACAATGTATAGACTTTAAACATTTAATGTGCCTTTTCATCAAAGAAGGCAAATGATAACTGTAGGACTGTTTAACACCGAGTGTCAATTTAGTATCATGTATTTATATCTGCAGTATAAAGACACGCACAAAACATTTTTTGTGGAGTACATTTTGTTACAATAAACCAAGCTTGTATTCCATCATCATGTGTGGTTCTCCCATAACCTCACTCTGTGAAGGATCTGGAAAAAAAAATAAAGTCAACAGCATGAGGCTTTTACCAAGCTACAGAGACAAGCAGTAACTATATATATTTTTTTTTCTCTCCATTCTAATGCTTAGTGCAACAGTTAATTCACTGATTTTTGACAGTGTTGCACAATGCAGGTCTGTAACTCCTAAATATCCAAAGTAATTCTCAGATAAATACATCTATAGTGAAACAGTGTTTCATAAGGACCCACACACTTTAAAACCAACCAGTTCTACATAAACACAATCTCCTGTAGCTGATTAAGTTTTGCATTTAAAAAAAACCTCAAGTCTGAGTGAAGCTCTTCTCTCACAGGTGCCCCACATCTCTTTCCAGTGCAACTTCTCTCCACAATAGGAGCTCACACTCCTCCCTTCTGTTAGCTGGGACACATTCATAGTCTATTTCCCACCTAACTGCCTAGTTTCACAGAAATTCTATGCCCTTAAACATCTCTGAGATTTCCTCTGTTCTGTAAAGGATGCTTGACAATTGCCACTGTACTCAAAGGTTATTAAGGAATGTGCAGAGGACACAAGAGAGAACAATACTGACAGTATGAACTTGATTTCCACACAAAAAATAAAATGAAAAAAATTAAGGCCAGAAAAAAGGTTGTGACTGCAGTTTGGAAGAAATACACCTTTCTTTATGGATGTATCTGTGTGTTTCCCTTCCATAAATAAGTCATATTAACACCTCTGATTCCTCTACAGACACCAACATTTTGTAACCCCGTTCGAGATAAATGGAACCTTAGCAAAACCACTTTCAACCCACTCACTCCTTAGCACTCTATAAAGATGAAACAGCTTGTTGTGAGCTGGTAAATAACCAAATTCCTATAAATTATGTTTGACATTACCCCCAAACCACAATAATCTAAGATTCTTTCCCTTGCTCCATGTAAATCCATCCCAGAAAATAATCCCAGATTTACCTCATGCTTCTAGATTCCCACTTATTCCTCCATTATTTCCAGTTTTCTATCTCCCTGGCTTTTTCCATTCTCCAATCCCATTTCAAAATACCCTCTGCCTCCTTCCATGTCCTTAACTACCAGCTAGAAAGAAAATTATTTTTTTTAGCCTATGTTCTCAGGTTTATTCTATTTCACACAAACTAACTGTCCATCAGTATCCCATCACACAATCACAAACTATTGAGTAGTTTAAGGGAGTCTTCCCCTGCCACACCTCTGGTTTAGTAGTTCAATATCTCTCCTCTAGCCTTTCTTTGGTTTTAGTTCTAGAACTTCTAAAAACTTTGTGTCTTTGTAACCTCCACCTGTCAAAATCTGCACAAGTAGTTCAAAAGCTTCTGGGGAAATAGGCATACAATATTAAGTGCATAATCTTCTACTTCTTTAGAAACCCAGACTACAAGCAAATACTGGCTTACTCAGTTATTTCAGAGTAATTTCCACACAACACCTGAACCACATTTATTTCTTCTTCCCCCAGTGCTTCTTTGCCTTTAGGAATTCAATTTTTTCCTCCTTATTTTTGCATTTCATTCTCTTTTTCCATAAAGGCCAAGAACTTCACAAATCCCAAATTTTACCGTTAAATGTTTCGTAACATTCAAAACAATGTCTTTACCATTAAGGATATCCTCAAAACTGATGCATTCAGCATTTCCCCTCAGAGTATCCAGTGCTATGTTTGAGCTGTGAAGAAATGGGAGACGCTGGACCTGTAAAAAGACAACAAGAGGTCAAGTTCCTGCAAGTTGAAATTGGGGGGGGGTTTATCTGGATTGCTCAGTCTGAAGTGACTGAGAAGCTACATGTAAAGTCTCTTCTTCCTTCAAAAACAACAGTGAAATAAGAGAACTACTGGCACACACAGACAGACTGGCCTAACATCACCATCTTCTATTATTTATCTCTGTTTTGAAAAGAACAGCCTTTCACTAGATTTGTATCATTCACTGCAGTGTAGGTACTACAGCAAATAGTGTAGTTAAAAAAAGTAGGTTTTTTCCTTCTCTGTTACCACATAAAGGTGGGGAGGCTCACTGCAACAAACACATCTACGCCCTTAGATGTGTATTGGGCAACTGACATAGAATGTGGTTTCC